AATGAAATAATACAGAAGAAACTAAGATCCTAAGAGAATAATACAGTTAGTCCATATGAGAAATGATGGTGGTTTGGAGTTGAGTAGTCATTTTTAGGTTTGAATACCTGGATAACTGGAATTTCCATTTACAGGGCATATCCTAGAAGGAGAACTTACCTGTGTATGTTTGTATTGTTTGGGGGTGCAAATGGGTGGAATTAGTGTTTCTTCTAGTTGTTACCATTGAGTCAAAGAAAACTGCCAGAAATACAAGCTGGATTTAGAAGAGGTCGCAGCACTAGGGCTGTCATTGCTTATGTCAGATGGAACTTGGCTGAAAGCAGAGATTTTTATTGTCTATGCAGAGGCATTTGACTATGGGTCACAACATACTGTAGCTAACATTGAGAAAAATGGGAATCCGAAAACGCTTAATTGTGCTCATGCAAAACCTCTACGTAGACTAGGAAGCTGTTGTCCAAACAGAGCAAAGAACACGGCATGGCTTAATAAAGAAAGGAGTGCACTAAGGATGCATCCTTCGTCATTTGGGAAGCTAGATTTTACGAAGGAGAATGTGTCATCAGGGTTGGAGGAAGACTCATCACCTGCATTATGCAGATGATACAACCTAGCTCACTGAAACTGAGGAGGACTTGAACAATTTTCTGCACAGAGTCAAGGACTGTATCCTTCAATATAGATTTCATCTCAACATAAAAAAAACCAAAGATTCTTACCACCAGGCTGATACGCAGCATTTTGACAGAAGGAGAAAAGATGGAGAGTTTTAGTGATTTCATCTTGCTTAGATCCACAGTCAACACTCTTGGCTCTAGCAGTCAGGAAATAGACTACTTGTATTGGGAAATCTGTCAAGGACCTCTCCAGAGTGCTATGGAGCAGTGATATCAATCTAGAACTAAGTTGTGCCTGATGTAGACCATGGTCTTGTCAATTTAGTACGCTGCATCTGAGAGCAGAACAGTGACTGAAGATGACAAAAGAAGAATCAATACCTTTGAGTTGTGGTGCTGGAGAAGATCATTGAATGTATAGTGAACTGTCAAGAGAACAAAAAGGTCTGTACTGTAAAGGGTGAAAGAAACCAGGTTGCTCCTTGGAAGCAGGGATTTTCAAGCTCTGTCTCACATACTTTGAGCATGTTACTAGGAGTGACCAGTCGGAGAAGGACATCATCAACTCAGGAGACGATGACCCCTGGGTGAGATGGGTTGGTAGAGTGACTGACAGTGGAGTCAGGTGTCTCAGATAATTAGATTAGCTCAGGATAGGGCAAGGTTTAGAGCTAATTTTCATAGCATCATTATGAGTCATGCTCAACTCGATGACACATAACAACAGCCAGTTGTTTGTTTTTCTTTTTTTAAAAAAACAAACCCTTAGTGGCACATTGTTTAAAGTTCTCAACTAACTGTAAGGTCAGTTGTTCAAACCTATCAGCTACTTCATAAGAGAAAGATGTTTCCATGTGATTTGCAGTCTTAATCCTATGGTTCAGTGTGGTTCACTTTATTCCAGTTTGCAGTCTGTTCTCTGTTGTAAGCTTTCTGTGAGTCAAAATGGACTTGACCATACTGGGTTTACATCTCAAAATCAAGGAAACAAAAATCCTCACCACTGGACCTGTAGACAACATTATGATAGATGGAGAAAAGATTGAAACTGTCAGTGACTTCATCTTACTTGGATCTGAAATCATAATGCTTGGTAGTAGTAGTCAGGCAATCAGGAGACATATTTCACTGGGAGTCTGTAATCAGGGACCTCCAAATTATTGAGGAGAAGTGATGTCAGTTTGAGGACTGAGGTACACCTAACTCAGGCCATGTTTCTTTTCATTCACTTGGCGAGTAGGACAGATGTCTTTGAACTGTAGTTTTGGAGAAGAGTGCTACATATCCCCTCGTCTGAAAAAAACAAAAACCAACCAAACAACAAAAAACCAGAGCACACCAGACATACCAAAACAGATGTATCGTGGAGAAGGTTCAACCAGAGTGCTCCTTGGAGACATAGATGAGGACTTCATTTCATTTGAGCATGTTGCTAGGAGAGATTGGAGAGGGACATCGTGCTTGGAAAGGTGGAGGGACAGTGAAGGAGAGGAAGACCCCCAATCATGTAGATTGACACAGTGACTGTAGCAGTGAGCTTAAGTGTGTCAGATCGTGAGGATGGCACAGGATAGGCCAAGATTCATAACAACACCAACACCACATTGAGTTTTGTTTGAGTTGTATTTTAATCAACATAATGGAAATACTGAATTTAACTTGTCCAGTTTGGTTTGAATTTGAAGTTGGAGGTCAAATTACAGCAAGCAATTGGGACTGGGACTGGAAATACATACATTTGAGAGTCATTTGAGTGTAGATGGGTATTAAGTTCACCTAGGAGAACAAACAAGTTTGTCCTGGAGAAGGTAAGAAACCAGGCTGCTCCTTGGAGGCAAGGATTCTGAGGCTTCGTCTGACATACTTTGGGCCTATTGCAAGGAGGACCAGTCCTTGGAGAGGGACAGAGAAAGAGAGGAAGATGAATTGATTCAGTGACTGGGGTAGTGAGGGTAGGTGTGACAGAGACAGTAAAGTTGGCACAATTTAGAGCAGGTGTCAGGGCTATTATACATAGGTTTGCTATGAGTTGCAAGTGACTTGACAGCACATAACAACAACAGCAGGGAAGAATGATTGTAGATAGAGATGAGAGGACTCATGAACTCAGTAACTTGTAAAGGTATGCAAAAAGAGACTGTATTGCAAAAGTGGACTGGGGGAGGAGAAGGGAGAAATTGTACAACAGTCTATGAATTAAAAAAACTGAAATAAAGAAGAAACTATTATAATGCACTTAACGAGTAAGACAGGAAAATGTAATGTTCCAAAAGTTAAGTGTGGAAAATATATTCATGAAAGTAGAAGGATCAGAAGTAGCCAATGCTCCACAGCCACACATCTCAACCCCCACCACAGCCCTGTGACCTCAGGGCACCACCTCGGATCCAGCCATCACCCGGAGCTATCAGGCAAGCTGTTGAGGAACTAACCTGGCAGGAGAAAGGCCGGTTGCAACACCCCCATGATGCATCTTCAAGGATATGAACATGTACGGCTAAGCACAATTAATAACAGTGCACCTAAATTCCAAAATCAATCTCCATAATAGTCTATGTGTGTCCTACTGCCAAAGGGGCCCTTTAGAGTAGTGAGAGAAGATCTTCATCCTGAAACCCACAGTGTCCCTTTTCAGCAGGAAGTAGCTAAGAGAATACGCCATCCCCTTTTCCTCATGAATCAGGGTGAAGTCTCTCTCAGGGAGGAGTGATAGGGAATGGCAAAGGACACACTGACAAAGGAGATTAATCAGAACTGACTTTGACAAGCACTGTGGCAATTGGACAATTAAAACAGACATTCAGATGGCAGGGGGAGAAGAACAAACTGGGGAGGAGGGTAGAGAGAATGGTGCAGCAATGAAGGAATGAAAGCCACAAATCCCTGTAAATGTTCATTAAAACTAATAAAATTTAATACTTTAAAAAAAAAAGAAGTAGCCAATGCTGCTAGAAAGTAGAGTGCAATAAGATGAACATAAAACTGTCAGAATTGACTTGTTAAAGAATTCTGCCTTTGCAATACATCTCAAGTTAATATATACCTTGTTACTCCCTTCCAGCCAACAGTATTAATTGCGTTTTTATTGCCTGTTCCCTGAACTACTATGTGAATATTTCCCCCTCTCCTTTATTACCATATAAAATACATGTTCCTTGTTGAAAATTTGGAAGATAAAGGAAAAAAGTATAAATAAAACAGGGAACATCCTGGTTTTTTACCCAGCAGTTTTCTTCATAAACCTTTTTCTCTTCTGTTGTTTAAAATTCCACCGTGGATAAATTGTATTCGCTTTGAAGAGTTTTGTGATTTTACTAGTAAATGATCTCCCAAAGTATTTTACAATTTGAAAGTATGTTTATTCTCTTCAGTTTTTAAGATAGACTTTTTAAACCAAATTAATGGATATAAAGCTAAGAGTAGATAACTTCTTGAACTTATTTATAGACTTTAGGATGAAGATAACAGTTAACATTTGCATCCTTCTATAGCGTTTACAAAGTTAGATACATCCTCTCGTTTGATCCTCATAGTATACCAGCCCTATCCAATAGATTTGTTGTTGTTATGTGCCATCAAGTTGCCTAAGACTCATAGTGACCCCATGTACAACAGGCCTTGCCAATCTTATTGTCTCTGACATGCCTGTCCTCATTACTCTACGATGGAAATACTTTTTCATTTTGATGGTAAATTGAGAGATTAAATGCCTTGGCCAAGTTTGATTTAATTTTATAACAATGATTTTAATCCAAGCCTCGGCTCAGAAGAATTACCTTCCTTTTACAAGATTTCATATAATACTTACATATTTTCTTCAGTGCTTTGGAGAGAAGGAAATGACATTAGATTTTTACACTTTTTCTTTTGTGCTGCCACTCAAGGTTCATTAACATTGTTTAGTCTTCCCTGTAGTTTGAACTCTATTTTTTTAGTTTGAACTATTTATACTTTTTTTATTTGTTTGGGTTATTTATTTATTTATTTATTTCCTAGCATGAACCACAAACTGCTAAAAATTAAACTTTTTTTATCTCTTTAAAACCAGAATTCTAGGTTACTTGTAATGAAGTACAAGTAAAACAGATAATGACTGCCTGTGATATTCACAAAGACAGTGATAAGTGAAAGTCGAGATCTAACCTAGAAAAATTAGCTAATCTTTTAAATTAGCTACCTCATCAGATATAAGATTATAAAATTAAATTGAATTTGGAAACAGTAGTGGCAATATTTTATATTTGAAATAAACTTAGATTTTCAGTACAGTATAGTTATTACCTTAAAATGTTCACACACTTTTTTCTATACCACATTTAAATACTTAACATTCCCCAGTAATTAATTTTTTTTGTTGTATTTTGTTTTTCCCCCCCCTAGTTGTTGGTCTTGACGATATTATGGATGAAGGAGTTGTTAAAGAAAGTGGCAATGATACCATTGATGAAGAAGAACTGATTTTACCTAACAGGAATTTGAGGGACAAAATAGAAGAAAATTCAGTAAGATCACCAAGAAAATCACCTCGTTTAATGGCACAAGGTAATCCTTTCAAAGAGGATCAGTTAGAAAATCAAGAGTTATAGGGACAGTTGTATTACCTCTTTACCAGTTGTCTAAACTGGTAAGCACTGAGCAATGCTCCTATTTTTTTGATGTGGCTTAGTGATGAGGAATGGCACTATCAACCCAAAGGCACACAGTTCAAATCCACTAGCTGCTCTGAAGGAAAATAGTAGTCTATCTATCTCCCATGTGATTAACTACCTCTGGAAACCTGCTAGAGGGTCAGCTATGGGTCATTTCTGACTTGATGGTACACAACAACGAGTATGAACACAAGTATCAAGAGATAATGAGCATGGCAAAGGACAGGACAGGGTTTAGATCTTTTGTTCAGAGAAGGGTGACAGTTGTATGCAGCTCAACAACAGTTAACATTACAAGCATTATTCATAATCTGTTTTGATTATTAGCAATAATTTGGTATGATTTTAAAATATTTTATATATATAATGTAAATATTTGACCAGGTTTTGTTTTGAAAAATACTGATTTCTAGTACCTACTTTAATCACAGTTTTCCCTATCTCAGAGACAACCAATATTAGGTCTTCAAATGGTTGGTTTATTTTCTTTTTATATTTACTTTCCAATTTCTAAGTAATATCATATATTACTATTATTATTCTGATTTAGGTATTTATCTTTTTACTTCTCTCCGTGGATGTAAAGGATTTAGCTTCTTTTCCCCCTTCTTGGCCTAATCGTACAAAAGTATGTTTTCTTATCTTCCTCTTGGAAGATACATAATTTGGTAGAGCAAAGGGATTTATTTTTACCAAGGCCCCGTATGTTTCTAGGGAGCTCTGGTGTCTTAGTGGTAAGGAATTGTTCTGGCAGCCTGAAGACACTTGGTTCAAATGGGCAGTTATTCTCCCTCTGTGCAAGTAACTGTGTCTGGAAACCCCTTGAAGGTCACCTATGAGTTGGTTCTGACTTGATGGTACATAATATCATAACATATATATGCTATTAGCAGTGATTGACTTAATAAACTATTCTTTTCCTATACTACTTTTCTTTCTTTGATTTAATTGCTTTTGTTTTCCATTTGCTTAGTTTTCTGGGTACATACTAGTAATTGCCCCTTTCCCAGTTATCTAATTCTTCTCTTAAGTTTATGAATGTATATCAGTTATTTTTTTCACTTCCATGGTACTGAAGGAATATATCTCTTAGACCTTCTGATTGTCCCTGGTGTGTAGTAATGGTAGCTTCGTAAGCCTGAAACATAGCTGTTATCCAGGGTATCCTTTTACATTTTTCTGAGATGGCTGTGCATATAGTTTGTTTACTATTCTACTTTGTTCATTTAACATCTTCATTTTGATTGTAAACCACCTTTCATAGCTTCTTGAGTAAAAATACTGTAGAGATGAATATTTGAAACTTGGCATGTTTGGAAATATAATTAATTGTCCTCATACTAGTCATAGTCTGGTTGGACACAACTCAAGAATAGAGATAATTTTCCTCTAGAAATGTAAAGATGGTTATCTGCTTTATTTTAGCTATGATGTCTTTCCCAATTTGTCTCTTCCCCCCCCCCCCCCCCGAAAGTTTGTAGTATCTTCCCCTTCAACTCTAACATTTTGATAGTTCATGATAATGTATGTGTCTTAGCATGGGTAGATTTCATGTGTTGAATTGGATACTTTCAGGAAAAAAAATAAAAGACAAATCTTAAAGTTTGTAGTAGCTTCCCTTTCAACTCCAGCATTTTGATACTCGTCCGTGATAATGTGTCTTGGTGTGTAAGGTGTAGGTATATTTTGTGTATTGAATTGAGTACTTAGCATTTTTCCCTACACCAACTGAATTTTTCTCTGCTTTAATCTCCATTCTTCTTATCAAATACTGGATTTATTTATAGTTTCCCCCCCCCCATTGTTTTCAAATTTATCTGTTCTTTTTTTGTAGTAGCCTGTTCTTGTTTGGTGGGAGCAATAAATCTTAAGATGCTCATGATAGTTTAGAAATTTTAAATTTTCTTTCAGAGTTTCTTTCTCCAGTTTGTACATTTTTGGGGGATGGGACTTTTGCCACAAAAAAAATTGCTTTCTGACTTCCATGCTTACCTATAATGCCTAGATTCTTTGTTGTTCATGTTTAAGAATAAGAACTAAGACTGTTTGGAATATTTAAATTGGTTAGTTGAACCTTCAACTATAAACTTCACAGAACAGTGATCTGGCTGTACTGCTTTTGGGGGAACCTCTCATGCCCCCAAAATAAGATTATTACTCTAAAGCTCGTTTGAAATGCAGTAAATTAATTACTAATTCTAGGGAGCTCTGGTGGACTAGTGGCAAGAAACTGCACTGCAATCTTGACAGCATGCAGTTTGAGGCCACCAGCTGCTCCTCAGGAGGATGGGTGTTTTTCTTCTAGGTAGCTAACCTTCTCTAGAAAGAAACCTGCTGACTTTCTCTAGAAACCTGCTGGAAGGTCAGCTGTGGTTTGCTTCTGATTTGACAGCAAACAGCAATAGGACTCATTGAGAAAGCGTCTATACAGGGCATCTCAAATGTCGGCATATATAAATTAACTTACAAATTTCAGTATGTTTTTGAAAATTATTTCTTCTTTTCAGCTGTGCCTCTTGTTTCCTAGACAGGTTTTAAAAAAACCCTATGCTAACTTTTTCTGGAGAATAAACTTCCAGTCTTGGGTTAGGGTAGGGGACTCTTAAATGACCCCTTGAGAAGCATGATACTCATTTGTGCCAACATTGTTGGTTTAGTGTTTGTCTCATTTGATCTCTTTTATCAGTTACTTCTTGAAGATCTCTTGTTTGACTTCCAAAAATGTCACTGTTTCTACACCCTTATTTTTTGAGTTGGGAGACAGATAGGACTTTTAGAGAATGTAATCCCTTTCTTCTACCTTTAGTGAGGGATTTAGAAACAAAAAACTTGGATGCATTTGGGACTTTGAAAATGAATAGCGTGAGCGTTATAGACACAGCATTGTAGAACGTTGAGTGAGTCTCAGCAGTCAGGCTTCATCTAATGCAGTTTGCTATTTAGAAAAAAAAAACTTTTTCCTTTGCCTAATTAATATTTGCAAAAAACATTTGGACATGCTGTGGGTCATTTTAGCAACCCCTTCAGTAATGTGTCAAAAGTTCATTTATTTTATTTCAGGGCAAATGGTTATAATAGAACTATGAATCGGAACAGTATCCATCTTCAAAGCTGTAAAAATAAATATTTCTAGATGCTAAAGATACAAATTTTCCCCATTTTAGTTAATTTTATAGTCCTCTGAGCACATGATAAATAGTTTATAATTCACCAAAAAGCAAAAAAATAAACAAGTTTTCAAGTGTTTACTAAATTCTGGACTAAGTCCTGAGGAAATTCAAACAGGTTCCTAATATTAGGCCGACCATATAATTTATTTTTAAAACTAGGACATTTTTGAGACTAAAAGGATACTGTTAATTTAGACTTCATGTATTATCTGGGAGAATGCAAGGAAAATTAAGAAGGCTAATTTCTTAACTTTCTTATAATAATTCAAACATGGAAAATGTTCTTAATTTTGGAATGTAGACTAAAGTATAGTTTTGATAGATGTTAGGTACCATTGTCACATGTATGGGGACCCATAAATAACCAATCCAAACCTTGTCCTATCTTCTCCATCTTCATGATCTATTACAGATAGGAGTGTTTATTTCTTTAAAGTCACAATGCAGAATTGGTTTAGAAATGTTGGCTGTGCAAAGAATTGGAACAACGTCATGTTTCTATTTTAGTTTATAGATAGTTTTTCTTATTAAGTAAATAAAGAATACAACTCTCATCTGTCCCCAAGTTCCTTTCACTGTGCTTTGCTTTCCCCTGGATTATGTGTCAGAATAGAGAAAGGAGGAAAAATGCACTTAATAATCTCTTTGTTAAGGGCATTGTTAAAGGTGAGAAGTTAAATTACTGCTGTACTTTTCCTTAATAGAATTTTCTTGATTTAAAGCTTTTTAGTTGCCATTTCTTTCTTTTTTTTCCTATCTGTAGATGGTAATCCAGTATATTCCTTGTTTCTTTTTGAGGAATAGCATGAATGCTAAAATAGTGATAGGAATAAAGTATGTTCAAAAAGTAAGTAGAATTACTGAGCTTGTTTATGACAAGTGGTTTTAGTTTAGATTTATTAGTCCCTGAATTTGTTTGGTTATGTATTTAATATTTGATGTCTAAAATTTTATCAACATTCTTACTTAAAATTGGTGTTATGTTAAAGCTAGTTCTTATTTTATGTCAAGTTCTTAGAAAAAGAGACCTAGTTGAAAACGTCTTTTTTATAAAGTGAACTCTAATACCAGTATGAGTTTTGTAGAAGTTGTTACTCACTTAATAGTGGTCAAAGAACTTTGATAAATACAAAAATATAGTTTATACATTTCATTCACTGTTATGAGTGATTATTCAGTGCATTTTTATTAAAATGAGCAAAATATTTTATAGCTCAGAATAAAGAAGTTATGTTTTAATTTGTATTGCAATAAAAACACATGACAAAATTGCTAAGTTGTTTTTTTATTTTTTTTTTATTTTCTTTCCCCCCCGTGATAGAACAAGTAAGAAGTTTGCGACAAAGCACTATTGCCAAGCGTTCAAATGCAGCACCTTTAAATAGCACAAAAAAAGCATCTGGGAAGACTATCTCTTCCCCCAAAGCAGGAGTAAGACAACCAGAAAGATGTCCGATTAGAGAAGATCTCTGTGCATCGCTGAAACCTGAATACCAGAAAGAGAGCAGAAGGAGCAATCGGCATATTGGACAAATTGAAGAGGTACCAGAGATAGCAGTGTCTTCAAGTCATTCTCCAGTGTCATCTTGTCTTGAAATGAAGGATGAAGCCGAACTAGATTCTCAGCATAAGTGTAAAAATCAAGAAGAAAATGTGCCATCTCATGAATTAAGTTGTCCACTTCTTTCAGAGACTTGTGCCAGTAGTGAAGAAAAGAAAAATGAAGCTCTGATGGAATGTAAAATTGAGACTGTTAGTAGCCCTTTGATTAAGTTTCCAGATAAAGAAGAACATGACCAAAATTATTCCATTCCAGATAAAGTGGATGAGATAATTGCTGATGAAATGAGAGTGAAGGGAAAAATTGAACATGAATTCAAAGGGACAGTGAAATTACCACATGAAGGTGACCAGATTGTTGAGGAACCTAGTTCTACTGCTGCTCTCTCTAATGACACTACTTGTACAAATCCAAATGACACTGAGAGGAACCTTGAAGGTTTATCTGCTTCTGTTGCTGAAGCAACTGAATGTAATTTGGAATTGAAGAATAGCATGGAAGTTGCTGAAGAAGCAAAGAATTTCCTTCTAAGAAGTAAAGTAGAACCACTGGGTTGTTGTAAAGACACAGAATCTAATGATACTGAGTCCCAGAGTATAGAATGTAATAAATCAGATGTAGAGATTGTTGATACTACTGCTTTTGAGCCAGAACATAATGTTTTAGAAAACGCTACTTGTGACATTTATAACCAAAATTCAAACCAGCACATTGAAAATATTAAAACAGAGCCCCATGAAAAGGCAAACCTTCAGGATAATAGAAACAACCAGTCAATTGGTGTTCCTTGCTTAAATTCAAAAAACATGAAATTCAAGCATCCAAAGCCCTCAATTCATTCTAAACAAACCATGATTGTAGATACTCCAAAAAAAGTTGTTGCCACAAAGCATGAAGTAGTGCATAACAAAAACAAAGTTAATGTTAAAAGTGTGAAACGAAATGCTGATGAACTGGAATTGCAGCAAAATTTTCATAGGCCAGTCAAAGTGAGAAAAAAACAAGCTGATAAAGATTTAAAGATCCAGAGTAGCACTTCTGGGGTTAAATCTGTAAAAAGTCAAGGTAATTTAATATTGAAAAAAACTTCACAGGATCAAAATTTAATACAGAACTCTAAACCTTTAAGTCATTATTTGAGTGATAAGTCTCAGAGTCATCATGCTTCCTCCAAAGAATCTCATCATCCAATGCAAACTGGACATTTATTACATTCCAGCCAGAAGCAATGCCATAAGTCCCAGCAGCAGGCTCCGTTAGTGAAAACCAATAGCCACATGAAGGAAGAGCTTGAACATGCAGGCATGGAGCATCTTAAGGAGGAAGACAAACTGAAGCTAAAAAAACCTGAGAAGAACCTACAACCTCGCCAAAGAAGAAGCAGCAAAAGTTTCTCTTTGGATGAGCCACCATTGTTCATTCCAGACAACATAGCTACTGTTAAAAGAGAAGGCTCAGATCATACCTCCTCATTTGAAAGCAAATATATGTGGACTCCCAGCAAGCAGTGTGGTTTTTGCAAAAAACCACATGGCAACAGGTGTGTGTGTTTGTATGTGTGTGTGCGCACGCGCGTGCTCATACATGTATATGCATGATGTGTGTAAAGTTAAGGGAAATGCTTCTTGGGGTTCAGTTAATGAGAGAACTGTTTGCACACAAAAAGGAATTTTTTACCAGAGACTTGCAAAACCCCCTTTTCATCATTTCTGAATAAATGACTGAAAGGAGGAGCCACTGATTTTATAAATATACCATTGTAGAACATTTTACAAAACAATTTCACCATCAGCTACTATATATGGAATTGTTTTATTATTGTAACCAATTAGAAAGCTCTTTTTCTTGTTATTTAGTCTTAATACCTAAAAGCAAAAACTGTTTCTTACACGCACAGACACACACACATCCATGGGTCAGAATTACATATTTTATTTGACTTGGATTAGTAATAAGACTGTGAAGGTTGTAATGGAAATTCTGTTTCTCTATGAAGATTTTTTTTTCCTTTAAATGAAGCACACTTATTATAACTTCATGATAACCTGCCATAATTACCAAACTTAATTTTGGAATTTGACAGCTATGATAGCTGTTAAAGTTTTATCTTAGGAAAATTTGTATGTAACATGGAACAGAGTAAAAGCATTTATTTTTGAATGTTTTAAATTTTTTTCTGCATTTTAAAGTTTTAGAAGTAATTTTGGTAGTGCCCTTCACCATCTTTTCCTTAGGATTTAGTGTTTAATGGTTTGTACCACTGTTTACTTCAGTCTCCCTTTTCCCAGTTCATTTGTTTTGTTTTGTTTTGTTTGCTGATTAAGAGAAGCAAGAGATGAAGTGGAGTTTGCTGCTACAAGATTATCCTGTTCATATATTTAAATTGCTGTTGAAAATTATAGCAACACTATGATAAAAGAACATTCTAACTTGTGCACTTCTTACTCTTTAGAATTACATCTTGAAGCAATATTATATGAAAATGAAACCCTTTAGGGTGGGATAATTTAGTAAAATTTGCATTAGAACATTCTTTGGTTGTGGGGCTGTTCAAAGGAAGAAGGAATAAAAAGATATATTTGGGCCTGTTCTGTCAAAAAGACCTCCATTTTATGTCCCAAGAATTTTGTTGTGACTCAAACCACAATCTTATTTTTTAATATCAAAGGTTATCTTATAAAAAAACATATTCCAATTTAAAAAGAAACTGATTTGTTGAAATACAATGCAATTATTTGCTTACACTTATAAAATTGCCATGGCTTTGAATTAAAATATATTATTCTAATATGAATTCTTGGCTGAAAACAATTAAGGGCTGATTTACAGTCCCCTCTTAAGCCAGTCCTTGTCTCATTTCCAGCAGATATTTGAAATGATCACTGACATTTGGTCAGACAAAATGAGTTAAGAAAACTTAATTTGAATGTGTTTCTATTAAACACATCACTTGGAAACATTGTTAAGTATGTTGAACTGTAGCATTTTGTAGATACTGTATTTTGAATACCAAATCTTCAAGAGTTGTCCAGGCTTTCTAATGGTAATTGTCACTTCATCAATATCAGTATTCTTTTTTCTTTTATTAGTTTTAATAAACATTTACAGGGATTTTGGATTTCCATTCACTCATTGCTGCACTTTTCAATATCACTATTCTTAAAGTGAAGATTAGGTGTTATGTCCCACTGTCTTTTAGCAACGGGTTCTTTTGGAATAGACTCCACAAAATCTACAGTTTCTTTCCTGCAGTCTGGAAAAGTACTTAGAATGATAAATGGGAGAATTTGAGTTCTTGTGCAGTTGACCTGAGTAATACAGAGTAGTATTACAGTTGGTCAGATTTGGAGGCAACATTTTCACAACTTCATTTTTTTGTAAATAAAGAAGCCTAATTGATAAATTATCACTGCCTTTTTGAGTGAGACATTTTATTCTTGTGTATGCATTGAATGTACTCCAAAATACACACTTGGCATAATGGGAATTTTCTTTTTAAGCTGGATGAGAATTTATAGGAAGGGGGTATCTGGAAATAATAGTCATCCTTCTCTTTCACATGGTAGACACATTGAAAGCTCCTGACATATTTCTTAACACTTGTGACAGCCGTGTTTCTGAAAAACTTAACATTTCACATGTATATTGCAGCATTTCACATTTATGTTGCAATTGAGATTAGCATCCCTGTCTCTGTTCTCATCTGAAAACTGTGTGTAATAAAGGTTTATTCATAGCATGGCCACTTGTGATATTTGACCATATTGACACAATTTACATGACATGCTGTCCTTTTATATACTTTCCTGATTTTAGTTTTACAACAAAATTAGGTTTTTTTTATATAAAAAAAAAACCCCAAACCAGAGCAATAATAATCTCTCTTAAAACATAAGTTTAGCCTTTGAACTTTTAAAACACATTCACCTTTAGGTATTCTACAAGAAGTCTTTGCTTTATTATTTGTTTTATTTCCCTACCTTTTCAAAAGCTTTTTGCATGTTTGGTTTGCAATGCAATTTCTTGACCTACTTGTAGATGATTAGCATTGTTGCTCTTATGTGCCCTCGAGTCGTTTGCAACTCATAGTGACCCTATGCACAACAGCCCTAAACCCTGCTCTATCCTGCGCCAACTGCACTGCCTCTGACACACCCATCCCTATTATCCCAGTCACTGAATCAATATGAAATAAAAAATATAAGCTTCTCTATCGAAAGGAGTTTATAATGTTGCACTCATTTTTCTGAATGAAAATTATTATAGAATAAAGTATTCCATTTCTTTCTCAGAATTTTAAGAGTTCTGAGAACAAATATCTTTCTCTGGAGATTGACATTATGAGAAGTTTCAAAGATTATTTAATGTTTCTGTGGAATAGAGTCAGACATGTGTGCATATACTCTTAAATGAACCTATCCTGTCACTTAAAGATCAGAATTGAAGACCCATCTTGAAACATATACTATATTAGCCTGCAGAATGAGTTTGACATAAAATTGCTAAGAAGAGATACTCAAGATTTTTCCCCTTACAAACTTCTAACACTAGAAAGCGTTATAAATGTTGATGTTGTCATTGAACTTACTAATACCTGTTTCAGTTATAATTGAGCACTAGCCAAACTCTACAAAATACCCATTTTTAGTAAAAAGTTGTAGCATGAAGCTAAATTTAAATGCAGCGTGTGGAATTATTTCACATATTTTCCTTAAATATTTAGTCTTTTCCTGGGATGGTTTTTACTTTGAAGCAATGAGAACATTAAAGTTGCCCATTAAAGGCAAGGTAGAAAGGAAATTGTAAACTACACACCCTTAAGTATGAATAACATGATAAGGGGGAAAATTTATTCTCTTTGTCATGAGTTTGCCTTTAAAAATGATTTAGTAAGGTAATACATCCCAGTTTTAAATATAAAATTAGATTTTTCTTTTAAAGTCAAAGATACCTTCTAGGATTTATGGAAACATTTTAAAATCAAAGCCCTTTATTGATGTTTCAGAACACATAAACTCTTTTATAGTGAACTAAATTATGGCAAATCTGTAGATAGAAGCTGAGATAAGCTTTTCAGAGCCTTTCAAGTTTGAGATACTTCTGAAATGAACTTGAAATGAGGCATGGTGAAATCATAAGTTTCACAACTGTGAAACCACATTCAGTAAGAATGCTTTATCTGTAAGGTGTCCTTTATAATTTGACATATTTTTGGATTTACAACAAAAACATAGTCTGTAGGGTTTTAATTAAAGCAATATCCTACAGATAAATACTGTACAGATACTCTTTTTTTAAAAATCCTGTCACTTTGATTAAGGAATTAAAAGGGAAATTTACTATTTGCTTCCTTCAGTATATCAAGAAAAGAGCAGGTTGTCTGTTTCAACCAGGAACGGAAACACTGCTTAAGTACTGCATAGTTTAAAACTCCTTGTTGAGTGGATAATGTGTATAACAAACAGACCATTCAAAACCTCCCTCAAACTTCAGAAACTTTCTGTTTTACAAACAAGTATTAACATTGAAAATTTTTTAGTCTCAGACATTTTGGGGTTTGGTGTTTGTTTTTTTTTTCTTTTTTTCAAACCATTGACTCACTGGGCATATGATTTTTTTAAAATGGCATTACAGTGAATGTGAAGAAAGAATTGAAGTGCTTGCTTTGTTAGCACATATGCTAAAATTGGAATAATACAGAGAAGATGAACAGAGCCCCTGTGGGAGGATGACACACAAATTCGTGAAGCAGGAATGGCATCCACTTCCTAAAGAACTTGGCTCTGGAAACTATGAACTTTGATAAATGTCGATAGTTGTAGAAGGGCTTCAGGCCTTTTCATAGGGTCACTATGAGTCGTGCTCGACTAGAAGGCAATCAACACAACATATAATTGTGTGTATATATAAAAGTGTATATAATTACATAATTTATATATAGATAGATAGTAGCTTGGAGGAAATAAGTACACAACATACACAATAGGAAGGCATGAGAGAAGAAATGACTGCTAATCAAGAAGAGAATGTGGGGTCTGCCTGTTTTTGAGATAACCTTTAAGGATTGAAACTATTCAGTATACTAGATCTTTGCATAGAGTTGGCATATCCCCCAGTGATAACCTGTAAAATCTTCCTACTAGACCATGTAACTTAGAAAAGAATTTTGACACTAATGTAATGTTATCTAACAGTCTGTCTTAAACTGTTAAGGAGTATTCTTATGCAAAGTTTTACATCTTAATCTCTTTTAGGATACCGGGGCTTGCTAATGGAAATGGGAAAATGTCAAGCATTTTGATTTTAAACGAGCTTTATTGTTATCAATAAGTGGGGTATAAATGTGTAGTAAGTTCTCAGACCATAATTATTTAATATCTGATTTGCCATTCAAAAGTACTTCCCTTCTAAGAAAAATGGAGAGGGGTTTTTTTGTGTCCTGAATCTTTCCTTTGATAATATTTGATTGAAAAACTTGATATTGGTTAATGACATTAATTCTTAAATATGATACAGTAAAGAATTTTATAGTATTGGGAGACTTAACAAGTATTTAAAAATTTGACATGAATATTAACTAGTTGGTCAGTTTAGTTATTACACATTCAAAACTACTTATAAGATCTGATCAGTTTGAGGGAGTTAAGATGATTAATAGACTAGTGGTTTGAAAGTTACCTTGTTTTTAACAAATGGAAAATAACTTGTTGATTAAGCGATTTCCCCTTAGTTTTTTATATGTGTAGATGGTTTTAAGTATTTGTGGTAATCTTGATCATTTGGGAGCTCATTATCACAGACAGAGTCTAATGGAAAGGTGTTATTCTTTATGTTGGTCATTATACCTTATTTTCATCTTTGCAAGTTTTTTTTCTCATTATTTATACTAGAAGAGATGGTTAATTTCAAAATGCCTATTTGTATAAAATACTCTTCATTAAAAATTGGTTCTTTGTTAAAGAGGTAATCTTAAAAACTTTAGAGTATCTTGACAAATAAGTATTAGAAATTTTACTTAAATGTATTTTTATTGTACTTTTTAAATAATTGTCTTTCAGAGAGCTATATCAAATAAAAATTTCTTTTCTTAACCTCCAGATTTATGGTTGGCTGTGGGAGATGTGACGACTGGTTTCATGGAGACTGTGTTGGGCTAAGTCTATCCCAAGCACAACAAATGGGAGAAGAAGACAAAGAATATGTGTGTGTGAAATGCTGTGCTGAAGAAGATAAAAAGACTGAAATACTAGATTTGGATATTTCGGAAAACCAAGCTAAAGCTGAAATTCATAGTGAAGATAAAACAATGGAGTGTGAAAAGCTTGGGTTATCAAAGCACACAGCAACAAATGAAAAAAAACATATAGATGATACAGTGAAGCACAAAGCCAAAATGTTAAAACGCGTAAGTTTTTATTAAGAACTTAAGACTGGCTGACTGATTTACTCATTGCTATAAACTAAAAGGTTGAAATTTTTGTTTAGGTTGTAGTATTTGAAGATGTGCGTACTTGGACTTCCTTTTCCATAAAAATGCTTGAATTTTTACTGAAAAATTCTTTGGTAATCCTGGTGAAACCAAATAATGATGTCTTCAGTATATTCACTTTATTTTAGTTTCCAGTTTGTTGCTTGAATTTTCTTTGTGTAGGATATATGTTTGTGTGTGCGTGTGTGTGTGTGACGGGATCTCGTGGTCTTGGGTATCAATTGCACTCCCTAACAAGTTTTTCTAAAAAGTGTTTAACCTATAAATCATTTGTTGGTTGCCTTCAAGTTGAGCGTCACTCATAGCAACCCTTTGAACAAAAGGTGTGAAGCCCCTCTACAACTATCAACATTAATTACCAGGTTAAATGGTTTAAGAACTGTAAATCACTACTAGTTCTTAAACCATTTGACCTTACAATTTTTATGTTAGAGAGTTATTTTCTCAGTATAAGGAAAAGTAATCTTAATTTTTAAAATTTTTTAGTATTTGCTTTGAGCCTTCAGCTCATAGTTTTTTTATCTTAAAAATAGTTTTCCTTCACTTTATAAATATTTTTTCAAAAGTATTTTCTAACTAGGAGACTCAAGGTATTTCAGTTGAGGCAAGACTATAAAAATACAAGCATTTAAAAAAAAATACAAGCATTTCATGGAATTATATCTTCTTTTTATTTATGGTTTTTATAGGAATTTCTTTGTTTAATTAATGTTGCACATTTTCCCCCGTCCTCCCAACACCCCTGCCCCCATGCACCACTTGTTCCAGGTTCTTGTCATATCTTTAATGCCTAATCATATATTCCTTTTGGACAGTTCTTCCCCGCATCTTTTCTGTCACAGTTTTCATTATTTGTCCATTCTTTTCACATTCTCTCCCCAAGCCCCAAGGCCTCATCTGTCCTGTCTTAAAACAGTAATGTTATAAAGTATCCTTTTGTGACAGAGATTTTTCACTCAGTACAGTGTCCCCCAGGCTCCCCCAGGTTGTATGTTTTCTGAGTTCATCATTTTTTAATACTGCATAATTTTCTGTTGTGAGAATGTGCCATGGTTTTTCTATCCATTTGTTTGTTGTTGGGCATTTGGGTTGCTTCTATCTCTACTATTGTGAATAACGCAGCAACATATAAGGTGTGCATACATCTGTTTGAGTTATGACTTTGATTTCTTTAGAGAATATTCCTAGTAGTGGAATTGCTGGGTCAAATGGTATTTTTATTTCCAATTTATTGAGAAAGCGCTAGACTGCCTTCCATAGTGGCTGTAGCCTTTTATACTCCCAGCAACAGTGAATAAGGAAGGGGTCCAGTCTCTCCATAGCCTCACCACCTTTGCTGTTTGCTGTCCTGTAGAACTTTGCTTTGTTGCTGGGGTGAGATCATTCTCTTAGTTGTTAGAGACTAAGGTACACCTGATCCAGGCCATGGTCTTCACAATTACTTGCTATGTATCAGAGATCTGGACAATGAATAAGGATGACAGAAGAAGAATGGAGGCTTTTGAGTTGGTGGTGCTGGAAAAGAGTATTGAACATACCATGGACTGCCAAGAGAACCAACAGGTCTGTCCTGGAAAAGGTGAAACCAGGTTGCTCTCTGGAGGCAAGGATTTTGAAGCTCCCTCTTACATGCTTGAGGCATATTGCCAGGAAGGACCAGTCCTTGGAGAGGGACATCATGCTTGGGAGGGTAGAGGGACAACAGAGGAGAGGAAGACCCTTGAGGAGATGGTTTGACTGGAGAAATGGGATGAGGTTTGTCAGAGACAGTGAGATTGGCTCAGAATAGGGCAGGCTTCAGAGCTGTTTGCATAGGGTTGCTGTGAGTCGTAGGCATCTCGATGGCACATAACCACAACAAAACAATGGCAAGGATGGTCCACCATAAGAGAAGCAGGGATTTTGAACATTTCTTCATATATTTGTTTGCCATCTGAGTTTCTTCTTCAGTGAAGTGTTTATTTGTACGTTGTGCCCATTTTGTGATTGAGTTGTTTTACCTTTTCCTTGTTGAGGTACTGGAGTATTTTATAAATTTTAGAAATAAGTCCCTTTTCAAATAAGTCATTGCCAAATATATCCCAAACTGTAGGTTTCTTTCTTACCTTGTTGGAGAAGTTTTTTAATGTACCCATGGATTTGATTCTTAGAAGTTCACATATATCTATTTTATTTTCTCCTGGTTTTAGGTTATTATATTTGGAACCATAGGCTCTTGCTGATATGTTGTTCCATGAAATCCTTCTATGTCTACCAATTCCTTTCGATACAGTGACTCAGTATATTCTTTCCATCTTCTTTTAATACTTCCTGGATCTTTTAATATTCTGCCTAAAGCATCCTTGATTATAGTAACTCGAGGTTTGAATTTGTTCTTCAGTTCCTTGAACTTAAGAAATGCTGAGCGAGTTCAGCCCTTTTGATTTTCTTACTCCAGCTCCTTGCACATTTCGTTGTAATGTTTTACTTTGTCTTCCTGTGCTCTCTATTGAAATCTTTTGTTCAGCTCTTTAGTATCTTGAATTCTTCCTCCTGCTTTGGCTTCTTTGCCCTCTAGTACAATATTCAGAGTTTCTTCTGACATCAGTTTTGGTCTTTTCTTCCTCCTTTGTCTTAGTAATGACTTTTTACACTCTTTGAAGGAAATAGCAAAAAAATAAGGCCCCAGGAATAGATGGTATATCAGTTGACTTATTTCAACTAACAGATGCTGCCCTAGATGTGCTCACCAAGTTGTGCCAAGAAATCTGGAGAACAACCATTTGGCCAACTGACTGGAAGTGATATTTGTTCCCATTCTAAAGAAGGGTGACCCAACAGAGTCTGGAAAATATAGAACAATATCATTGATTTTACATGCAAGCAAGATTCTTCAGAAGATAATAAAAAAACGACTGGAACAGCACATCAATAGAAAACTGCCAGAAGTCCAGGATGCTTTCGAAGGGGTGGTGGTACTAGGGATATTGTAGCTGATGTTAGATGGATCTTAGCTGAAAGCAGGGAATACCAGAGGAATGTCTGTCTGTGTTTCATAGCAAACTGGCTGACTCTGAGAAGAATGGGAATCCCAGAACGCTTGATCATGCTAATGCAAAACCTATACTTGGACCAAGAGGCAGTCTTCAGAACATAGCAAGGAAACACTGCATGGTTCACAATTGGAAAGGGTGTATGCCAGGGATGTGTCCTATCTCCATACCTTTTCAACCTTTATGCAGAACAGAGTATCTGAGAGGCTTGGCTCTATGAGGAGAAGTGTGGCATCACAATTGGTGGACGATCCATCAATAGTCTGTGTTATGCAGATGATACAACCCTAACTTGCTGAAACTGAGGAGGACCTGAAGCGCTTGCTGTAGAAGGTCAAGGATTGAGGTTCAATATCAAGAAGACAAAGAGTCTCACCACTGGACCAATTGGCAGCATCAGGATGAATGGTGAAGAGATTGAGATTGTTAAACAGTTTGCTTGGCTCCACAGTCAACCCTCTTGGCACCAGCAGCCAGGAAATTAAAAGACGTATTGCAATGGGAAAGTCTGCTTTTAGGGACCTCTCCAAAGTGCTGAAGAGCAGTGGTGTCACTCTGGAGACTAAGGTGCACCTGATATAGGCCATGGTCTTTGCAACCAGTTATGTGTCAGACAGTTAGACAATGACTAGGGGAGATAGAAGGAGAATTGATGCCTTTGAGCTGTGGTGCTGGAGAAGAGTATTGAATGTACCATGGACTCCTAAGAAAACAGACAGGTTCGTCCTGGAGAGGGTTAAACCAGATTGCTCCTTGGAGGCAAGGATTCTAAAGCTTCGTCTGACATACTTTGGACACGTTGCAAGGAGGGACCGGTCCTTAGAAAAGGACATCATTCTTGGGAAGGTGGAAGGACAGAGCAGGAGGAAAAGACCCTCTACGAGGTGGATCGATTCAGTGACTGGGTAAGTCGGGGTGGGTGTGTTGGAGACTGAGAGTAGCACAGGATAGAGCAGGGTTTAGGGTCACTAAGAGTGGTACATAGGGTTGCTATGAGCCGACAGCAATAACAACAACAACATGCTTGAAACATGTTATGCTGTGAATTAGGGCTAAGTCCCTGATCTACCTTGAGTTTGTTTTTATGTCTGATGCAAGGTGTGGGTATTACTTAAGTTTTCTGCATATGATTTTCTAATTCTCCTAACACTATTTATTAAGCCGACTGTCATTTCCCCACTTAACTGATTTCTTTTCTTTGTCAGAAATCAGTTGACCATAAGTAGATGGGTTGATTTTGGCATTCTCAGTTCTTTTCTGCTGCTCTGTGTCTTTGCTCTCTTGACAACCACAATTGTGTAGTAAGATTTGAGATCAGAGTTGTGATGCTTTCTGCCTTATTTCTCTTTTTCAATAGTGTTTTGCTTATGTGAGGTCTCTTTCCATTCCAGATAAAATTGGAAATGGCCTTTTCCATCTTGTTGAAGAATGTTGGTATCTATCTTGGAATGCATAGAACTTGGAAAATGCCTGTTGTAGAATTGTCTTTTTTTATGACACTGAGTTTCTTTTCCATGAACATGATATAGTCTTTGATTTCTCCATATCTCTTTTTGTTTCTTGTAGTAATGCTTTGTAGTATTCCTTGTATAAACTGTCATGTGTCTTGTTAGATTTGTTCCCAAGTATTTTGTCTTGTAGCTGTTGTAATTCATACTATTTTTCTTAGCTTTATCTCTATATTCTCTTTGTCATTGTAGCTGATTTTTGTATGTTGAATTTTATAGCATTCTACTTCTGATACAGGCCATGGTCTTTGAAATCACTTGTTATGCATCATAGAGTTGGATCATAACCAAGGAGGATAGAAGGAGAATTGATGCCTTTGAGCTGTGGTGCTGGAGAAGAGTATTGAATGTACCATGGACTGCCAAGAAAACATAT